TCGAAGCCGCCTTTTGCTGCTTTTCACTCCTCGCCGAGTTACCCGCGTTTGATGGAATCGGGGTGGAGGTCTTCCCTTGCGGTAGCTGGGCTGGTTTGTGGCCGAATGGAATCATCTTAGATTATGGTGCACACATGGACACTGTTAATAAACAGATCCGGGCTCAAATCCTGATGGGTTCGATACGACGTTAGGGCTACCCGGGCCCTCCTTTGAAAGAAGGGGAACCGAAAAAAGACGCAAAGAGCGAAGGGCTGGTTACAAGTCAGACGGTATTATCTCCTTGCAGTCGAAGGGATCGTTGAACAGACGGGCAACTGGAAGACAGAGGGACGGACCATCAGGAGGGAATGCATGAAGAAGGAGGCAGGCGTGATCGCCAGGTGTGGATTCCCTGGCTTACCTTGCCATGATCCTGGAGGAGGGAGCGATTGCGATTCCGCTGAGCGGAATCTCTTTGAGACGATTTTCTAACGTCAGTCTTCAAAGTCATCGAGCCGTTGGTCTTTATTGCTGTTGGAGCAACAACAAAATCTCAGAAACTGTAAAAAGCTTTGCGTGGAGGTAGCGTGGAGGTGGCGATGGTGGCGTGGACGTGTGTACACACGCAGGGAAGGCGGGAAGGCGGTGATGGAGTCAAAGATAGGGAGGCCGCTCCGGCGTCTTCGTCGCGTTGACTTCGCTCCCGTTGGTCTCTCTGGCAGCACATCACGGGTTTCATCCTTCATAAAGTTTCTTGGGAAAGGAAGAGAGATGGCGAGCCTCTCTTCGACGGTGGGTATTTTTGGTCCCTCTTTGGGCCCTCTTCGGTCCCACAGACAGTCTCTTGACCCATGGATGGGATGTGGAATGGTACGCCCATCTTCGGTCCCTCTTCGGTCCCACAGACAGTCTCATGCTTCCAAAAAAAAAAGTACCATATGTACAGAAACCTCTGAAAGTGCGTAGAACTTTTTTTTTGGCTAAGTTCGGCTCCAGGATCAGTCCTGTGGTCCGAGCATGGGACTGTGCTGATGACGCCAACTATGTTTTGTCTGATTTACAGATGAAGGGTCCAATTGAATACGCTGCTGCTCGGCTGATTCGGTTGGGGGGAGACTGTGTTATATAGCAGAAGAAATGAAGTTTGGGGAGTTCCACTAGACATGTGAAATAGCAAGAGAGACCGTAGTCTGGATCGATCCTCGCACCGCGATCGAGATTTGTCCAGGGCGTCAGCGATGCTGTCATCAGTTGTATGGTATGAGAGCAGTTACCCCTTGTTAGGGCTTGACGAGTTGTTTCAACTTGAGAGAGAGAGAGAGAGAAAGAGAAGAGCCGTTCTGATCTAATTGGCACAGTCATTCGGATCTGCAAGCGTGCGGCAGAGGGTGGTGCCACATGGCAAGATGATAGCTATAAAGAGGCAGAGGGGGGGGGGGGGGGGGGGGGGGGGGGGGGGGGGGGGGGGGGGGGCGCAAAAGTGGGGGAGAAGTGCCGACCCCCCAGGCAAGGAAGAACTGTACCTGGGAAGCGGTGGTAGGGAGGAGGAGCGAACAGTGCGGGCTTCGTGTACGATTTTGTCTGCGGACTTGAGATTGCTAGAGACTGCGGCGATCGCAAATGGCGGCTTGTCATCGCGTGATCTTGTTGTGTCTGTGGCTGAGTCGTCTGAGTCCGCTGAGTCAGACGCGGAGAACCCACTGTGCAATATGTCCACAGCGTGTCACTGAGCGAGTAGAAAACGTAGGCGACCCGGCGATTGCCTGGAGGAGCGGCAGCCGCGCTAGTCAAAAACGTTTTAGGAATATGGATTTGAAGGTGAAGTTGTAGGAGTTTTGCTGCCCATGATGACTTCCGGGTTGATGGGTTCCATTCGACCCCGTTGGACATAGCAGCATAGATTTGATGCAGAGAGAAGAGAAATTTATAGCAAATTTCTAGTGGAAAGCTGGAAGTAGCATCTCTCGCCGATTCGCCAATCTCAATCACATGCGGTTGGCTGGCTGGCTGGCTGGCTGGCTGGCTGGCTGGCGTTTTCGGTCAAATGCTGTCCGTGCTACTCCGACCAGTCTTGGGGGGCTCTTTCTTGGGGGCTTGGGACCCCCCCCGCACAAATGGTTAGCCGTGGCCATTTGCGATGGCGATGACCGCTCGGTCAAGTAGTGAGTATTGCGATGGCGGTGCCACCATGTCGGTACGACAGACGTAGGAGGAAGAGAAGAGTTCGCAATGATGTCCGTATGACAGAGTTGTAGGAGGACGAGCTGGTGACGGAGGTGAGAGAGATCTTGCATGGTGCCACGTGGCAGGTTTTCTGTCGAAGAAGGGTTTCGACAAAATCTCGCAGCGTCTTTTTAAGTCCCCCTTTTGAGCTTTCGCGACTTCAGGATTTCATTATTGCTTATTTTGACCATTTACACGCTTTTATTTTATTTTATTTGTTATTATTTTTTATCCTCTTCCTCAACTTGAAGGAGGTGATTCGTTTTCTTGCCACCATGGCCTCCGGCTCTCTCTGTGTGTACTCTCCTCTTTTTTTTTTTTTTTTTTTTTTTTTTTTTTTGAAAATTTTTAGTTTCCCCTATTGTTTTGCTCTTTGTGCAGGGTTGATGCTAATCCTCTTTGTCTCTGCATGTTCCTCCTTCCTCTTCACCCTTTTGTCACTAAATGTGTGTTGCGCATGCCCCTCGTTCCTCTCCCTCCACTCGGTAAATGTGTCTGCAGCCAGGACCAATGTGTCATGGTTCGGTGCATTTTTCCTCGGTTAAAGAGGCAACAGGATGAGTCGTCATGCACTGCATGCCATCATCCGTGTGAGATTGACGGACTCACTGTCGCGCTCTGGCTGTTGTGTTTATGATTGGTTGATTGCGTTTTTCTCTTTTTGTCCTCCCGCCCCCCTCTCCCACCCACCCCTCCTTTTATTTTATTTATTTATATATTTATTTATTTTATTTTTCACCCCTCCTTTTCAAGGTGGTAATCATAAGTTCCCAATTTTAAGAGAATTCCCGCTAAGATAACAGATCCAGCGGTGGGTGCTTCTACATGAGCTTCAGGTAACCAAATATGAACTGGTACCATAGGTAGAGATATAGGGACTTTTTTTAAAGTAGTACTTTTTTTTATATCCATGTGATTAACCAAAGTATACTGATATTGACCGTATAATAAGACTATCCCTAACGTTATCCAATCCATTTGGTTCCATCCTAGGCTACCAGCCGGGCCTCCCGGGTCACCTTGTTTTCCCGGGCGGTCCTGCCGTGCAAGGACCAGGGAAGG